AAAAAAAAATTGAAAACTTCGCAGTACCAAAATGTTTTTCGTTCCAAACATAAATTTTTCAAATTTTTATCTCAGTATATAAAATTTTCTCTCTCTGACTCGATGCCATGGCCTCTCTTGCTAACTTTCTTTTCTCTCTCTAAAAGGGACGGTCACCTCTCACTCTCCCTCACCAAAGGCCTCACGAAACAACTCTCTTGTAAAATCCTATTCCTGATAGAACTCTAGGTAGACCCTCATCCTCTCTCTAATAATAATGGACTTCTTACCCTAATTTGACCAAAACCCATACCATTTCATATGCTAATTGCTAATCCTAATCCACTATGAATGCCAATCTTAGCATCTTCATCACTAGAATGCACTATCGAATTTAAAGCGACAATATGAATAGAACGACTTTAGGGTTTTTGTGTGAAAATACTTCTGTGAAAGTATTAGTATTGGATCAAGCAATCTTAATTAAAATATTTACTAAATATTTCAAATATTCAATCGTATCAAGTTGGCTATACCCAAAAGATAAGCCCACAAATAAGGAAATAACTATCACCCAATCTTGGAGAACAAAGTAGTCCCTATATGTGGCATGCCACCCTTTAATGGTCACACGTAGGCCCGACCAATCCCATATATTCTAAATTGGACCCTCCCATATTTATGGAGGGTCTCATATAATTTTAGAAAATATTTTATTTTGTATTTATAATTTTTAAATCTTATATTATATTTAAAACATTAAAAATTACTTTTTTTAATTTATAAATCCAAATGACAAAAATAAAATATCAGAAGATTCACAAAAAATTCAAATAAACATTCTAAAAATCATATATCATAAAATTAATTAAAACTAATTAATTTTGATGGGAATCGGACCCTTGGATCTATGAATTTATTAATATACGGCAGCACTCCACCTTCAACTGCAGACCACGATCCACTAGCTTTCTCAAACTTACCCAGCGGTTCTCATGACCCACAGTCCACTGTAGGGGCTCATGATTGGACCACCAAAGTCAACAATAGATTAGGGGACACAATCTTAGTTTATGGATTTAAAGTTCTCTCCTAGAGGTAAAAAAAAATAATGATGCAATCATGACTATATGATGCATAGGGGTAATCTCTTGTACATATACACGCTTCACTCTCATTGATGAATTTCAATATGACTATCTATGTATATGTCGTGTGATGATAGAACAATGAGGCTTTTAGGCTTGTCTCTAAAGACTATTCATCACACGCAAGGGCCACAGAATCCCTTGGCTCTTATTTGGGCATACTCCGACCTCATTAAAAGCTAACCCACTAAATCATTCTCGGTTGATCCCTATGCCTAGGTATCTTGGGTTTTTTCAAACTCGGCCGGCCTAGCACGTCGAGCTTAGTCTGAGTATCAGCAAATCGTATTTGCCTAATATGACCCACAAGAGGACCACACACTCATTGAGTTTATGTTTCACTATATAAAATGCTCATACAAACTCTCATGAGGCTTTTAAAGGCCACATAAACCCAACATATTAAACATTCAAAGTAAGACAAACCTCTAAGTTCTGCTAAAAGATATATTTTAAGTTTAAGAAATGCTTTAAATGGCCTAAAAATATATTTTCACCCCTAATTAAGAAATCTAAAGCTACAAAGATGGTGTAGATAGAGCAAATCTATATGCACTTAAAATTTTAAAAATAGATAGTCTAGATACTTGTAGACACCCTGATCCCGATCGAAGAAACTGTGGGAAACCTCTAATCAACCTGACATCACCCAACGTTCGTTGTCTGAGGCGCAGTTGGCAGCTATGTCAGTGCCTTTCCCAGCTCCGTCAGCCCTTGATTGGTCGACTACTGATCGAAAAATATCTTAGAGAAGGACACGTGGCAATGTTTCAGTGACAGGAGTTCCCAATTTCATCAACAACATTGCCAACTCCATTGAATCACTGAGCCCCTAAATCGCATCGTACTCTTAAGATCACAGGTTGCTTAAGTATTAATTAGGCGGGCCGTAATTAATGCTAAGGGGAAGCCTATGCCAACTGTGTTGAAGGAATTGCCAATTGCGCTACAATCTGGACGACCCAAATTTTATTTACAGCTTCCAACAGTGATTAAAGGGGGTTTTCGCCTATAAATAAGAGGCAAATCCCCTACCTAAAAAGGACAAATATCTAAGAAAAGCACCCATGCTCTGCCGCTCTAACCCCAAACTATGTTCAACCCAAAACTGAACCCCCAACCCGGGGCTCAAGACTTGTCTCCGGCTTTCCCCGAACCAAATAAATAACGAGTACCTTTCAGACACTCCTCCAACTATCTTCATCTCGCTTGGCAAATCCCCGAAGGACCGGGTAAAGGTTGTGCGACTTTCGGCTCTGAATCGGTATTGACTCCGGGCTGAGGCCCGACCTAAGGTATTTTCCTATTTTATTTCCTCCATTATCCCCTTTTTTATTTGCTTTTCTTCTATTTACCAAACCCTTTAGAAAATCCCCCTCTTTTCTTACTCTAAGCTCGAAAACCCTCCCTAACTTCAAGATTTAAGCGTATTAGAAGCCAACAATCCGAGCTGGAGAAGGTCTTATGGCCCGACTTTCGATCGAATTATAATTTGACGTAACCTCTCTTATCTACTAACTCTTCGACAGAGTTTATGCCCAAAAACGAGACGGGGACTTAGTGTCCTACCAAAATTTTTTAATACAAACATTAATATGTTACAAAATGCACTATTTTTAAGACTTCAAATCTTTTTTTTTTTACATAAATCTTGTGGTCGAGATGATCAATTTTATGGTTTTTTGACGTCGAAACAACCTTTTCAGATAGATTTTTAAGGTTCACTTTGGTTATACAAATTAATGTTGACACCTTATATGAGCTTTTTCCCTAGAAAAATAATATGGTCGTTTATTACAATACCTTTGGACTTAATGACTGTAAGGTCCTCGTCAACTATTACTATGCCCACGAATCGCATGATGAATTTGTCCAAAATTTTAATGGCAACCGTTTTATTTTCTTTTTTTTTTCTTTTTCTTTTTTGATATGTTAACAGTAGGAATAGAGGGTGAGACATAAGCCCCCTAACCATCCGTACCCCTGCCCCATTATATAATGACAACTTATCGAGACAAATTCAAGTACCTCTTTTTTTTTTTTTGAGAATTATACAATGAGTGTTATGATTTCCATGGGGATTTGTTGAAAATTGGTGGGTGAAACGGGGCAATAGAAAAAGAGTTGCAAACAATCTTTCAATGAGAACCAAAGAAGGAACCTCATTCTTGCTGTTTTAGTCATGAAAGTTTCGGTCTATCCTTTATAGTGTCGGTTTGTTGTTATGCGTGGAAAGCAAATGCTACACCACATGTAAACATCTCACCCCTTTCCTAAATATTCCAATATTTTTAAAAACAAATGCTTTTTCTTAATATCACCGGACTTCTTTTTTTTTCAACAAAAAGAAAAAGACTTTTCTTTTTCTCATTTTATTATTGTCCTAGCTATTTTCCAGGAAAAATAAATTATAGTCGTACCTCAATCTCACCCAAAAATGCAATTTCATTGCAAAAAACTTGGACAAATGAACCATCTCCACCTCGGGAAGCATGGATTTGGTAAGGAAATATAAATGAATAACTAAAATGATGCATCTTGCAACATTTTTTTTTTATTGTCAAGTGTTCATAAATTTGATAAATCTACAATATTTTTGGAGCTTCAAATTTCATTACAAGGCCGGAAATAGATTTACAAGTGATCCCAAGTTTTTTTTAGTGCCAGAATCTAGCTTTTTAGGGCGAGGCACTAAAAGAGCGATATTATGAAATTGACTAGAGCATCGGCCTAACCTAAACCTCATTTTTCTAAATAAAAATAAAAAAAAAATTTGTAGCTCATAACTTCTTTTCTCCTAAAATATCCTGAAAATAACATGTAAAATAATTGTTCCAGTTACCACTAAAAAAAAAAAAAAGGGAAATAAAAAAATTGAGAGGCATCATCCGATAAGATATCCAGCCAGCATATATCCAGAGCTGAAAAATCAGAGAAGTGGATAGGGAGTGCGTACGTCAGATTGATGGTGACTTACGATCGAACGGTTCGGATCGTTCCCTACCCAAAGTAACTTCTCATTCACACCGTCCTTTTTTAGCTGAGGTTGATCTCGGCGGCCAGATATCGGAGGCGGAGAACTGGGTCGCTGAACTCGTTCTCGGCTTTCTCAAACATAAAATACATGTGGGTTCCATGGCCATTCAACAAGAACCATCAATTTTTTTGTAAGTTTGGAAGCCACAAGACTTTGGAAATTTGCAAAAGTGGACCCACTCCGCCGTTCAATCTTGTAACATAGTCTTCTTCTTCTTTTTCTTGTTTTTTTGTGTGGGGAAATTTTTTTATAAAGTTGCAACCTTGTACTATTGAAGTAAGGTGCACCTAAAAAATCTTACAGAAAAGAATGTTTCTCTATTGGGGAACCTTTTAATTGATCATCTTGACTTCGAGATACATGGACATGAAGAAAAAAAGAATTCCAAGTTAAAAAAGTAGTGTTTCTTATAACAAGTTATATGGGCCATCTATTTTCAAGATTTTTAAGTGTTTCTTGATTTGCTTGATCCGTACCATTCTTTGAAGTTTTAAATTGTATAACTAGGGATGAAAATAATTTTTTAGGCCATCATAAAGTTTTCGATACCAGAACGACATCCGTAAGCAAATTTTAGAAGTGTGCCTTACTTCTACAGTATAAGGAGGCAATCTTATACAAACCTCATCCTTCTTTTTGTTTTTTTTTTTTAAATTTTTTTATCTCACAAAATGGCAACTTGGAACTTTCCGATTCATCACTGTATACAAACCTCACCTTTTAATTTTTTTTTGTTTATTTATTTATTTTCAAAATGGCGACTTGGCCCTTTTCTATTCCACACTATATATTCTTGTAGTTCTCTAGCCTCTCACTCATATTGAGCTCCCCTTTTCTCTCTAAGAGAAGCACAGTTTTTCTTGCTTTTCTTAACAAATAGAAAATCATAAGTGCTCATTTATTTATCATAAGAATGGAGAAAGCATTTGTATTTGTTTGTGAAATGTTATTATTAGTGTTTGTTTTGGAGCGGTTTAGGGTTGTTAATGGAGGGAAGGTGAAACTTTTTGTATTAGGAGACTCCCTTGTGGATTGTGGCACCAACAATTACTTAAATACCTCAAAGTTACATAGGGCTAATTATTATCCCTATGGCAGAACGCCTTCTCTGGTAACCCTACTGGAAGATTTAGTGATGGCAAGGTTACACCAGACTTCATAGGTACACTTTCTTCTTTAAGTTTCATAATCTTGTTTATTATTTTTAATTAAGTGCTTATTTAGGTAACAATTAATTTTATCTGAAGTATACTATCTTAATTGAAATGTAGATTTTGTGAACTATTATTGTGTTAGTTGTTTGGTATATGCTTTGTATTATGTATAATAATATTTAATTATTTAACATTTTCAATGATATCCAACTATTTTTAGCTACTTTTGGCTAAAATTGTGAGATTTCAGAAAGTACTTTGAATTGAGTAAAGACAACTCTTCCAAAAGATAAAGCCTATATGCAAAACTACCTATAAGTTTATCTCATATAACTTTATTATGGATACAGCCATAAGCGGATATTCCATTATCAAGATTAATTATTACTTCCAAAAACGACCTAATGCTAGATGGCTAGAGAAGTTTTTCCTCTATTTTTAGGTCGTTTGGCAAGCGGTGGTGGGTTTTTTCTCAAGTTTTAGGCCAGTCATTGGCAAGCGGTGGTGGGTTTTTTCTCAAGTTTTAGGCCAGTCATTGGCAAGTTTTGGTGGGAATGATGGTAAAATAGTCATTTTTAATGTTTGGAAACCCACCATCGCAGTAGGACTCCTCATGGTCTAGAGTTTGAGTTAGAGTCCAACTCGTCGAGTCTCAATGAAAAATTTAAAATATTCTTAGTCAGCTCGGTCAATCTCGTCGATTTTTAAGGTTAATCATCCAGACCCGGTGACATGCTAGGTTCTATGAGCCCTATGTAGTGACCTTTTGATCAACAATGAGAATAGAGTTGGCAACCGGGCCAGGTCCTGCTGGACCTGGATAAAAGAGTAATCGGGTCCAGGTTTATGGAGCCAGACTCTATCTTTCAAGTCTAAAATTTGGATCTGAGGTCGAATCTACCTGTCGGGTCCCGAGTCTGATTGGGTCCATTGCCACCCTATGACTGTGAGCATCATTTTTTTTTTTTTTTTCTCATTTTTTTACCATCGTATAACTATATTATTGGCAACATTTACAATATTGCACAATATTTATGAATACCCATATTCCTTCCTATTTAACGTAATAACTAGAAATTCTTAAAAAACAAATGTATTGATAACATTTATGAATTTCTACGTACACCAATATTATTCGGGTCGGATCCGATTGGACACAGACCCGAATATTATTCGGGTTCAGGTTTTAGACCCAAACCTAACTTTCCAAGTCCAAAATTTGAACCAATACCCAAACTCAAGTTGGGTCACCCGTCGAGACCCAGGTATGGCCAGGTCCATTGCCACCCCTAGATGAGATTGGGTAATTATGGAAACTCAGTTGTTTCTCTAATTTTTCTAAGAAAATGACATTTGGTCTCCGGGTTATGTTTCCACGAGATTTAACACGTACATTTGGTAGGACATCAATTGTCAATTGAGATTCCGAGGTTGAAATTTCTTTGGATAAGGCCTTTGTCACAAGTGGCATGCCACGTCTTTGTTTGTATGTTTCCTGGAAATTCAAAATGGAGCTTGATAGGAAAGTAATGAATCCAAGGTCTAGTTTCTTCCTATGTGTCCATCCCATTAAGATTATGGCTCACGTCTTTTCACTCTTTTTCTCAACTCTAAGGGTGGCAATGGTTCGGTCAGCCCGGCCCTAAAAACTGGGCAAGCGTTTTATGTTTTCTTTCAACATAGAAGTTCTATTCTCCTCTTATCCAACCATCCATTTTGAATGGAGGGCTAAAATTGCCTCAATCACAATGTTACGTCTCTATATTATTTTATTTTTAATTTTTTTCTATAAACTATTTTGACACCAAATTTTGGACGTCTATTCTTCTATTAAACTCGCACTAGAGAAAAATATATAAAAAAATATTTTCAATAAAATAAAATGACCAAAATACTTTTGAAATTTTCAAGGGGTATTTTGGTCATTATATTTGATCAAAAATTTATTTTTAATATTTTTTTTAGGTGCACCCCAATGAGACGATGGCACGTATCAAATTTCATATTCATACAATTTGTATAAAAAAATTAAAAATAAAATACTTTGAAACGTCGGATCTAAGATCAAACGGTGAGTGGCTTTCTTGATCAAAATTGAACGGCTGGATGGTAGGAAGAGAATAGAACTTCTATGCTGTAGGGAAAGCATGGAAACCTTTTCCCTAAAAAATTGAGGCTTGAGCCATAAAATATGGACTTAGGTCCAAGCCGGATTCTTTTTTTCTTTTTTCTTTTTTAAATTACATCTACCCTGGCTAGCCCTGATAGGGCTAGAGCTGAGGCAGCTGAGCCTGAGCCTCCTTGACTTGGTCCTCGCCAGGTTGGACCTAGGCCGGTCCTATAGGGAAAATGGCTGGGGTTGGATGTGCTTTGTGTGTGTTACAACAAGTGCATCTCTCTCTCTCTCTCTCTCTCTCTCTCTCTCTCTCATATTTGTATAATACCCTTCAGCTGAACTTGCTGGGCTGCCTTTGATTCCCTCATACTTGCAACCACATGCTGATCATTCATATGGAGCCAACTTTGCCTCAGGAGGAGCAGGAGTCCTCCCAGACACAAACAAAGGGGAGGTAAATGTTTTAGCAATTCCTATCCTTCATTTCAATATACCATTTTATAGTTTTATCATCTAAGTTTTATATGAATTATTTGATGTTGGCTACACAAATCATGTTCCATCATCGCCTTATATGATAGAACTCTTTTAAGGGGACGGTTTGTATAGAGCCTAGGCTCTAAATAATCAAATTAGAGCCTTCCTTCAAATAGTATCTAGAAATGTCGTTTCAATGTTGGAAATCTTTGTCATAGCCTTAAAATATATTTTCATCTTTATTTATAAAGTTTAAAGCTTAAAAAATAGTGTAGATCGACGGATCTATGAAAACTTGAAAATCTTAAAAATTGACGTTCTAAAAATGTGTTACAAAATACTCTATTCCCAAAATTTGAAATCTATTTTTTTCTCATGTCCATGCATCTTAATGTTGAGATGATCAATTTGAGGATACTTGGGCATCAAAACAACCTCTTCTAGTGAACGTTTTGAAGTAGGCTCTAAATTGATTGTTTAGAGCCTCGGCTCTATATAAACTTTTCCCTTCTTTTAATGATGGAATATTGTATATTTTCAGGTTGTAAATATGGACATGCAAATTCAGCAACTCATTGAACTCAGAGAGAAATTGGGGATAAAATTAGGGCATTTAGGGGCCAGCCAAGTATTCTCAGATGCTGTGTATCAAGTGAGTTTTGGGGTTAACGATTATAAGGTGTTTTCCAACAATTATGAAGCCCAACTATATCAAGACAAAGATGAATACGTGAGACTTGTTATTGGCAAATTAACATTACAAATTCAAGTACGTCATGTGCATTTTTTCTCTCTCATCGTTTATGTTATCCTTAGGTAGGGTTGAGAATTTTTCGGATCGGGTCACCTATATCCATATTTGGATCCAACAAGTATACATGGAGTTTGGATTTAGATCTGATTGGACCTAGAATGTTTGGATCCGAATTTGGATCCAAAAACTATACATGAGATCCAAATCCAATTCGGTTATGAAAACTGTATATGGGTCGCGGATTTGGTCTTCTAAAAGTTTAACATATTATATATAAATTAATAAATTATATATATATAATTTAAAAAATCAGGTCGCATTCAGATTTGATCCACCTGTACCTGATTCTAAATTTTGGATCCAAATAGGATTTGAAATTCGAGTTTTGAATCTAGATCGGGTAATTTCTCAGCCCTACCCTTCGGGTGTGGCCTCTTGAGAAATAATGGCGGGGAACTCAAGATATACAAAATTGGACACTTAATGTTTGGCAACTAACAGTTGTTTGATCTTTTATTAGAAGAATCGATAAATAGTAGACAATAATGTTACACATTAACTACTACCAAACTTAAACAACTAAGGTTAGAGTGTTGGATTCTTACTCAAATAATTGAGTCTTCAGACCAATATCAAGATTTCCCTTATATAAATCAATCGGAAAGCTAGAAAGAGAACTTCCAACTCAAAGCCACAAATTACCATTAAAATGAATAATATTTTGTAATAATTAATGAAGAAGAACATTATATACTTATGTGCTATCGATCCATTTACTTGTTTTGAGTAGTTAAGTGCGAAGAATAGTACTTGAGCTGCAATATTGCTAATATCAACCGCTAACCACTTAATCCAAAGCCTGATTCTTTTCTCCAAAGAAGACGTAATTAATTTTTTCTGTCTTTCTTTTGCAGGTGCTTTATAAATATGGTGCTAGAAAATTTTTGTTTCCATTGCTAAAGAATCTAGGATGTAGTCCTGGCATGCGAGTACTTGGAGGTGGAGAGTGCTTTGAGTTGGCTACTTACCTCTGTGCAACTCATAACACTTTACTTGAGGAAGTCTTAATTAGCATGGCTTCCAAATTAGAGGGCTTTAAGTACATTGTCTTTGATCAATTCGAGTTCATGAAGGCCAGGATTCAAAACCCACAAAAATATGGTATGTTCTCCCTCGTACACTTAGATGGTTCTGTAATTATATGCATATAGGGATTGGTAAGTAATTTGGCAGGAAAAGAACATGGGCTTAATTGGTTAGCGCTTAACGATTTGCGCTGCTACGTCCTAGGCTCAACTCGTACTAAGAATAGGGGGTCCTCTCCCCAATGACTCACCCCAAAAAAAAAAAAGTAATTTGGCTCAAAAAACTTCACATGACAGTACAATGAATGAACTATTAGAAGGCACCTTTTTATGAAAAGCCATTGAAGTTAATTTCATAACAGCTTTTTTATTTTGGTAAGTTTTTAAAAACTATGAAGGGTTGTGTGTTAGCTCTAAACTAGACAGGCATTGTGTCATGGAAATTATCTAACTTTTATTTTATTTTTCAAAAGTTTTAGGATTTGAATTTAGGAAACTATATGGTATGTCGGCTAACACATGCTACCACCTAGTTTTCAAAGGATTCAGGACTCGAAACGCATTTCAAATCATTTTAAAATTGTTTTGGCCTCTGATTCATAAATCTGGATTAGTTGATCTTTGAAGAATTAAAACAAATGGTATAAAAAAAGGTGCAAATAAGACCGTTTTGAGACATCTGTTTTGTAGATTCATGAATTTGGTGGTCTAGAATATAGACATCCAAATTTTAGATCCAAAATCCTTAAAAAACCATATCCAAGAGGGATTTTGGGAGGGGGGATTCACTGTAACAAATGCATCCAACTTTTTTACCCATGGTTAGCAATGAAAAGATCTCAATTTTTTTGTCTATCAGGATTTGTTGATGGTCACAATGCCTGCTGCGGAACCGGGCTACTTAGAGGTTTGAACACATGTGGAGGAAAGAAGGGCGCCACCAATTACCAACTTTGCCCCGACTCCACTTCACACATTTTTTTCGACTCATACCATTGCACAGAGAGCATTAATAGGCAAGCAGCCCACACAATGTGGGAGGGCAAGGACCCCTCAGTGAGGCCTCTTCCTCTCAAAACATTCTTTAACTCTAACTCTGAGGTTTCACATGTAGATATTGGGAGGAAAGGGGAAATCAAGGTCTCTTTAACCATGGGCCATGCCTCGTCCAAGTAATTGTTATGAAGATAAAGGCTCATTCTGCATCAGTAAAGTTGAGCTTCTTCCTCATGTTTTAATGTGGTGGGGTGGTTACCTATGCCACACACTGAATGGCATTACAAGAAGCCAAGCAGATTGAGGTTGTAGAAGATACGAATTGGCATCAGATGAAGATAAGCATTTTAGAGGGTGTAAAATATAGTTTTTATACATGGGTAGGTCAGTAGTGGAAGTTGAACCTGAGCTGTTGTGCTGCAATTTATGTGCAATAGTGCATGTCTATATCTTGTAATCTACTTCACTGAATAAATGGAAGACCCCATGCCCATATTGTTGGTGGGTAACTAGCTTTTTCATGAGCCATTAGCTGTAAAACATGAGCCAAAGAAGGTATTTCTTTACCAGCCATTGGTATCTGTTCATATCTAACTCTTTTTGGAAATGAATGTAGAAGTAGGGGTGGCAATGGACCCGACTAGATGGGAGACCCGATGGGCAAACCAGACCTCGGGTCCAGGTATGGGTCTTACTTTTAAACCCGAATACTATTCGGGTTCAGGCTTGGGTCCAGCCGGACCCGACCCATACCCATAGTCATAGAGTATATGATGGCAATTATATGTCTTTAGGTGCACGATAGGTGTTCATATTTTCACAATATTAGCAACATTTATTGTATTTTTGGCAAAAAAAGGAAGTTCATAGTCATAGAGTATATGATAGTAAAAAAATGTCAAAAAATAAAATAAAAATAAAATCTCATAGTCATAGGGTGGCAATAGATCCAATCAGACTTGGGACCCGACAGGTAGACCCAAGGCCCGACGACGAATCTGGGTATGAATCCAAATACTATTCGGATCCGGATCTGGGTCCAGCCGGACCCGACCCATTGCCACCCCTATGTAGGAGGAATGAAGCAACATCATAAAATACAGGACCTTGCTAATTGGCTTAGCAATTGAAATGTTGGGGAAATATTTGGTCTGCCCATGAGCGGATAGCAATAGTATACACTGTCCCCCATTTTGCTAACTCCATTGTGACCACTTCCATCCAAAAATTTCTTGAATTGGGGGTTATTTTGATCATTACGATGAAATTGTAATGGAAATGTATACAATGAGATCATTTACTTTTGATATAAGGAAACCACAATCATCATTAGCCGTTAGATTTGAAATTGAGTGGTTCAAGATGTGTCATCCTTTGGACGCAAAGTTCAAAATAAAATTTTCAAATGTTGCAACACTTTTTCATCTATTGGATTTCACATCTAATGTCTAAAAGTGATTGTGACATCTTTGTACTAAAAATAAATAGTCTCACAGTATACAATCGCAATTGGAAATGTCTTGAGAAGTCATGGTCGGCAATGAAGTTAGTGAAATTGCCCCTTCGGTCATCTGGTGTTTTAGTGGTCCCAATCTCTCTACCACCCTTCATCTATCAATTGGATAATGATGGCACTTGCAACCTATGTTTCTTTTGATACTATTTTCCCTTTTTAAAATGTTATTTCCCTTGAGCTTTTCCTTTCTAAGAGGACAAAAAGTAGAAAAAAGGTGCAAATTTAGCCATCCTATTTTTTTTAAGTAATGCATCCACTTTGGTAAAAATCGTTGAGGTCTTCGCCTTACATGAACCCAAGCTAAGTGGTCTATAAAATTTTCTGAACGAAAAGGTTTATATAATAACATTGACACCGTAAAATGTAGAATTAAGACGCACCTCTAAAATACATCGAAAAAGGTTGTCTTGGTGTCGGAAAAGTATTTAATTTATCATCTCAACATCGAGATGTATATATATATGGAGAAAAAAAAATATTTTTAAGTCATAAAAAAAGTACATTTTGCAACACATTATCTGGACCATCCATTTTCAAGATTTTCATGCATTTATGGATCTACTTGATTTGAACCATTTTTGGAATTTAAAAATTTTATAATTAGCGATGAATTGGATTCTCGATACATCCTAAGAAATTTTGATACCAAAGTTGCAACTCAGAGCAAAGTTTAGATGTGCACCTTATTTTGATTATTTAGGGTTGTAACCTTATGCAACCACATCCTTTTCACAAACACCTCCTTCAAGTATTCAAAATTTTTTAAAATATTTTTTTTTTACAATTATTTATTTTATTATAAAAAAATACACCTAATGACCTCTCCCAATTCTAGTTTAGGGCCAAACCGTTTCTTTTTTCTAGCCAAAAAAGAGTCCAACAAAAGCCAATCTAGTAACACTAATTCTTGGAGATGGATCTTGGATCTTGGATCTAAGATTTTACTAGCTGGTAATCTAAGTCACCATGGTCATGAACATGAAAAAATAAAATTAAAATATTTAAAATAGATTACTTTAGAAATTAATTAAATAGATATAAATGCTCCAAAAATAAAGTTAAAAATCATTGGCCTTTAAATTTAAAAATTATTTTACCTTTTTTTCATATTCCTGGTAATGGTGGTCAAGATTATAGCCTTGATGAATCTTAGATCTAAAATCTATCTATGGTAGATTTTGGAAGAAGACTGCTTGAATAGAGTGCATTAGGCTAATGCACCAAAACCCACCCATTCCCAAGTTTTACAGCTCTTTTAAGAGTTTTTTTTTTGGTAATTCCGTGAGGATCATAGCCCTACCCATTTTTTACTTAATTAGTGGTTTATGAAGCTGTCACTGGAAAGAAAAACCACAATCTTCCGCTAGGGTATTGGGTATGCTACCACCACAACCTCATACTCCTTTCTCAACTCCCAAATCTTAGAACTTCAAAAAATACGAATATCTAAACTTAATAAAAAATAGAATGATAGCCTCATAATTATCTTTTATTATTAGGGTGTAGTTAGCATACGGATGCATCCGTAGTTGTAGAGGTAAGGTGCACCTTCAAATTTTATCATGGTATATAATTTTGATGTAAAATGTTCTTAGGATTATCTCAAAATATATTTTTATATCCTAATTATAAAATTTT